GTCTTCCTCTGGTTTGTCCAGGGAAGAAATAAGTAGAATGTCCTACAACCCTTAAGAGGGAATTCTCACCTGCATCTCTTGCACTGGTTTCCTAATAGAGGCACGTTGTGTTCCTTGCTCCCCTCTCCCTTCTTTTTCCCCAGGTTGTATTCACATTATTTTTCCTCATCTGTATACCTTTCTAGATCTGTATTTGCATAGATGTAGACCCCCGGTGGCGCAGTGGGTTAAAACACTGAGCTGCTGAGCTTGTAGATCGAAAGGTCACAGGTTCGATTCCGGGGAGTGGCGTGAGCTTCCGCTGTCAGCCCTAGCTTCTGCCAACCTAGCAGTTCGAAAACATGCAAATGTGAGTAGATCAATAGGTACCGCTCCGGCGGGAATGTAATGGCGCTCCATGCAGTCATGCCGGCCACATGACCTTGGAGGTGTCTACGGACAACGCTGGCTCTTTGGCTTAGAAATGGAGATGAGCACCACACCTGAGTCAGACATGACTGGACTTAATATCAGGGGACTACCTTTATCTTTTAGACATATTAAGATCAGTAACACCATTTATGCTCCACTCTTGCAAGCTTTCAAATAAGCAGATTCTCTTCTTCTCCTTAGCTCTTCCTAATTATTTTCCTTCTTGGCATTTTCTATGTCGAGGAAACATTGGTTTGTTACATGTACCTAAGTTTTACCCTCAACTTATCCACGGGTTTTAACAAAATTCATTATTTTGGCCTCAACACCTGCTGTTGACATGGGTCCAGCTTATACATGAGTATATATAGTTCTTTTCTCTATAAAATCCTTCTGATTGGATTGGATTAATTACACCTAAATCTGCCCCAAAGTCAGATTGGTGAGATAGTAATACCTTGTTTAAAATGGTCTGTTAGCATATAGATTTTGTTAACAACTGGTTAAAGCTAAGTTTGACAGAAGTTCTTTTAATTTTGAAGTTCCATTTTTAAATTGGTAACTTCATTGAAATGTGTTGATACAAATACAGTTTAGAGATAATGGTTGCAGTGTTCTAGTTTTCAAAGATCTTGGCTTTATTCAATCAATTCAACATAAAATAGTTTGGAGGTAAGTTATGCAGGAATAGAAACTGAAAATAACTCCTTCCTGTTTTAGTCAAGTCAACTTTATTTGTATACCGTTCCATCTCCTCTTGTTTAATGTTTTAAACATTAGTTTGCAGTTATTAATAAAAGTGGAGTGGAAAATGTATGGCACACAACCTGTTTTGAACTGTAAAACCCTGTTTGGTAGTCCCCTGAGAATACCTGACCCTGTTTTCAAAAATACCAAATTTTTGTCCAAGTATCATTCTGTAAGTGCTATAAAATATGGCTGTTCATGTCCTATTGCTCACTTCAGTCATGGGAAAGTAGCAAAATCAACTGGTTTGGGTTGAATATTAGAACTGGAGGTGATGTGGCATTGTTGTTTATATGTTCTATTTAATTGTATTTTAAATTGTTTTCATTTTATGTTCTGTTTTTAGGCACCTTGTGCCATGTGTAACCTGCCCTAGGTCTCGTCAGGGAGATGGTGGCGGGATACAATAATAAAGTTGTTGTTGTTATATGTGATGTCACTTCTGAGCGTGTATTGGTATGATTGCTGCCTATTTCACAGTTGCCAATCCCAAGCTTTATGTCAGTTGAAATACTACATTTTTACTATGTTCCTAAATGTCTCTATGCCCAAATGTGCTGTTGCTACCACATTGTACAAACAAACTTGCATTAAGCCAGAATTACCACTGACTTATTGTTACAGAGTAATGTATGTGAAGAAATTTTCAGCCATGTAATGTATGGCACAATATTACATAGTTATATTCTTCCACATTTTCCTTTGTTTTATGCTGATATCTTGTACACCTGAAGTATAGACTGTAAAATTTTTTAATTAACAGCATTAAGACTAGATAAAGATCACCTGTGGTTAATGGTACTATCCACGATTGCCCACACATTCTTATTGTGGACATAACATTTTTCAGATAAAATTATGCAGGCTAGAATTCAAAGAGTTCCCTCACCTGACCCATTGAGTATTGTCTGCTTTAAGTGTTACCATATCACAGACTGCTGTTTTAAAATCATAATACAGTTTTCCCTTGCAATAGTCATTGGGGCTTGATTCCAGGACCTCTCGTGGACACAGAAATCTCTGTCCCATTATATACAATGATGTAGGAAAATAGCATCCCTTATATAAAATGGCAAGATCCTAGTTTGCAGTTGGGTTTTTTTTGGGAGGGGGGGGGGGTTCAAACCCGTGGATGGTTGAATCCATTGATACAGAGGGCTGATTTTACTAAGAAGATACTAACATTTGCTTTATGGCATGTTCAGAGGTATGGGTGGAAAAAGAGCTATTCAGGAAAAATGGAATCTACTGTTTTCTTCAACACATGGTGCTGAATGGATCTTTTAATGCAGACTTGCCAGGAGAAAGATAAAACTTCTGAAGACCTGGGGACTTCGAGGATATAATCTTGAAAAGAAGGATGGAGTAGAAGTAAGGTTAATGAGAAATTAAATCCTTGCCCTATTTGTGGATATTTGAGGAGGAAAGAAAGAACAATGGGAAATTAGTTTTCTCCCCCCATAAGCCAATAGTATGCTGAGTACTTGGGCTGGTAGCATAGGTGGGTGAGGCTTTAGAATAGAAATTGTTTTGGCTGCCTTGTGGGATGATTTTTTTTCAGGTAATGACAGAAGGAATGCTTTCTCTTGATTCTCCTCCACCTTTCAGCAATTCGTGATGTCAATTGGCCATGCTGTCCTTCTTGGAAGGATGTCTGGATTTAGATTTAAAACTTTAGCTTTTAACTACACAGCTATTTTCAGAAGGTGATCTTGAAGACCCATGGAGATTCTATTTTGATGTCCAATGGGGCACCTGTTTGATTATTAGGATAAATTTGGAGAGTCTTTCTTGAGTGTCATTGCCACAATTGTATATTGGAGCAAGAGCCTTCTCAATCATAATCCCCATGTATTTGCTGTATGATAGTACAGGGTTAGTCAAAATGAATAGGCCAATAAGAAAATTAATTTTAGACGAATGTATGTTTACTGTAACCAAACCACAGCTACGTAGCGACAGATAAACTATCAAAGTTTTTTTTGAGCAACACACATGTACGTTAATGCCGCTAGGCGTCGCTAGGGGTCGCTGTTTTCAAAATGGCGGAATCAAGCAAAGAGAAGGCGTTTTGTGTGATGACATTTGCTAAAACAATGTCAGTAATTACGGTCCAGCGAGAATTTCAAGGGTTAGGGTTAGGGTTAGGGTTAGGGATAGGGTTAGGGTTAGGGATAGGGTTAGGGTTAGGGTTAGGGTTAGGGTTAGGGTTAGGACCTCAACGAACACCTTCCCAGACGTTGCTGCATTCGATGCCATTACGTCGGATGTGCTGCAACGGATGTGGAATGAACTGGACTATCGCTTGGACATCTGCCGTGTCACACGGGGCGCCCATATCGAACATCTCTGAAGGTGAGACAAAACTTTGATAGTTTATCTGTCGCTACGTAGCTGTAGTTTGGTTACAATAAACATACATTCGTCTAAAATTAATTTTCTTATTGGCCTATTCATTTTGACTAACCCTGTATATAAACATGTGAAATAAATAAATCAGTAACAGTTAATAGTAAAACATGTGTTGGCAGTCAGACTATGTAATGCAGTCCCCAACATTTCCAGGTATCACTGAGGAGGGGGGAGCCTACCTGGGACCTTTGCTTCTTTAAACTGGTTAACTTCTGAGTTTGAACAAACTGGAACCAGCTTTACATTATTAATATTAGCATTAGTTGTTACTTCATTTGGAAATGTGCAAATTGTAGTTGGACTTTAGTAGCCAGTCATTATTCCATGTAACAAGCTGTTACTATATTTATATCCCTGTTTTATCTCCTGATTGAGACACAAAGGTATAAAGTCCAGTCCTTCCACAGTATTATGCTTTCAATAAAATTGATTTGTTTAGAAATTATACTTTTTGTGCACAACTGTATTAATAAAAAGTTAATATATTTTTGTACAATAGGAATTTAGACTCATTATTCAGTTTAATACAAAGACCTTTTTGGTTTTTGCAAGAAGAAACTATAGCTTTAAAATGCAGTACAAAAATTGTCTATAATTTGTCATTGTTTGTAGTTTTCAGATTGGTATAGTTTTTCAAAACAGAAGAAACAATACAATTTAAACACTTACTTATTTCATGAAAGAACAGTTTAACAATGTATTTGAGTTGTATGCTTACAGTGATGGGTTTTTTAAACAGTTATTAGTATGCTGTTTTTAATGCTACCTCTACAGGACTGCGTCACAACATATAAGAACACATTTGTTCGTGAGTTTTTTTGTTTGTTTCTGGATATAGTCTATTAAGATAATGCAAACATTATTCTCCAATTGTATCAAGTATTCTGATAGCTAGTAAGTGCCACTTTTCTACTAAGTCCTGAACTATTTAATTTCATAGAATAATAGAGTTAGAGGAGACTACATATGCCAGCTAGTCCAACCTCCTGCCATGCAGGAAAAACACAATCAAGTTCATTATATAATCTATATAATGTCAGTTTTTGTTCAAACTGAAATGGGCTTTGTATGTGCTGTGAAGTATGTACAGTTGACCCTTCATATCCATGGATTCTGAATCCCACATATTCAGACATCCATGGCTTGGGAACTAATTAAGCTGTCATCTATCTCTATTTATCTAGGTGTACAAGCACACACATATGGGCTATATATATATCTAATGACAAATCTTTATTTTGCCATTTTATATAAGGGGCACCATTTTACTACGCCATTGTATGTAATAGGATTTCAGAATCCACAGATCAAAGATCCTGGAGTGAAACATTAGGAAATACTGGGGGGGCCACTGTAAAATCACTTCCTGGTTCTATTAAATTTGTGTGAAATATATATGTATCCTGAAAGAGCTTTTTTTCCATTTACAGGGCAAACTTGATGATTATCAAGATCGAATGAATAAGGGAGAACGCCTTAATCAAGATCAATTGGTAAATATTCCTTTTGACACTTGTTTATTTGAACAAAGATTTGTTTTAGATCTTGTTCTCTCATTCTGCCTAGTTGCATCAGTAACAGAGACATTGATAACACACTTCTCTATTATTATCAAGTGAGGTACGCATTGCAAACAAAGTTTTATCCAGGTAATGGACTGCATGTAGAAAAGAAATTGAAACTGAATCCAGGCAAGACAGAGATGCTTGCTATTAAGGCACTAACCTGGGGGTGGAGGTGTGTCAACCAGTTCTGGATTGGGTTTACACTCCCCCTGAAAGACTGTTTGTAGCATGAGAGTGCTCCTGAATCCATTTCTCCAAATGTCAGGCCAAGTTGATGCGGCGATCAAGAGTGTTTATTACCAGTTTCAGTTGATATGTCAGCTGTGCCCCTTCTTAGAATTGGAGGACCTAAAGATGGCAGTGCACACACTGGTACCCTCAAGGTTGAATTTCTGTAATGCACTTTATATTGGGCAACCTCTGTACCAAGTTAGGAAACTCCAGTTAGTTCAAAATATGACAGCCAGGCTAGTTACAGGAATATCTAGGAGTGAACATATTCCACACAAAGTAAGTCACTCTACTGGTCCCCACAATTCATTTCTGGGCAAAGTACAAAGTGTTGGTTTTGACCTTTTAAGTTCTACATGGTTTGGGTTCAAGTTACCTGAAGGATTGCCTCCTTCTCATACATTCCACCCTGGACACAGAGGTTCTCTGGGGGCAGCTGCTGCAGCTAGCTGGAACCCAACTGACAATTGTCATTCAGAGGACCTCTTCATTGACCAGCCAAAGACTGCAATGACCTGCTGGAAAATCTCTGACAGCTACATCAGCTATTAAAATTTTAAGTCGCAACTGAAGATCCACCTCTACCCAATCAATTTTAAACTGAATTTTTACCTGCATTTTATTGGTGTTTCTCTTGTGTGTATTTTGTTATATGCATTTTAATAGTGTTGTGTTTTATCTGTTTTAATTTAATAGATCATTTTTATTAATTATGCAATAACCAAATTATATATTCCATGAAATTTGTTTAACTTCCAGACTCTGCCCCAGGTAATCCAATTAGAAGTTGAGGTACCATCAAATGTCCTAGTCTATCATACAAAAGAAAAAAGAACATGTATCAATTTCTTACATCTACCCAATGCTGTTGGTCTAATCATTGTTCTTCTTTTCACCCCTCCTAGTCTTTCATAGTAAAAGTTAATAGTGTCCAATCTTTCCAGGCTTTCTTTAATTCACCCTGTATCTATCTGTCAACCTCTTTTTCTCCAGTTTGGTCTTTGCTCAAGTTCTTCCTTATCACTGCTTGAATGATCCCGGGCTTCTTTCCTACTACACAGGTCTTGTGTAATTCCTCTTGCCTTATATTCCAGCATATAAAACAACTGGGCTTATAAAACGACCCCCAACTTTTGAATTTAAAATACAGAGTTTGGGGTATACTTGCCATATAAGACTACCCTTCTTGCCAGCCTCTCCAGGCCCCGAAGCCTCCTTTCCAGGGCCTTGAGGCAGCTTCTTGGCTCCACAGAGGCAGCCTCCCCTCGGCCGCATCCCAGCCAACTGCCACATTCATCACTTCCTCTTTTGGGTCCAAAACAAGATGGAGGTTCCCAAATACCAGGCAAGGGAGGTGGGCAATTGCCCTCCCACTGAAGCAGGATGCCTGAAGCAGCAGCTGCTTCTGGGCCCTTCCGGTGCTGCTTGGGTCAAGTCTTCCAGGCAGCTTCTCCACCACTACCACCACACTCATCTTCCAGGCAGCTTCTCCATGCCAGCCAAGGTGGGCATGGAGTGGAGTAGCCCTTGGGAAGGCTGAAGCCTGCAGCAGCAGCCAAGCAGTGCCCAAAGGGCACAGCAGCAGCCAAGCAGTGCCCAATGGGCACAGCAGCAGCCCTCTCGTGCCGCTTGGCTCCTGCTGCCAGGCCTCAGTCTCTCTGAGGGGCTTCTCCACTACATGCCTGCCTTGGTTAGCATGTAGGAGGAGGAGAACCTGCCTAGAAGACTTATGCGGCCATGGAGGAGGAAGAGAAGCCGTCTGGAAGACTTGAGCCAAGTAGTGCCAAAGGGGTGCAGCAGCTGCCTGCCTCCTTGCTTGGTATTTCAGAGCCTCCATTTTTATACCTGGGGTATAAGACGACCCCCAACTTCTGACAGCATTTTCCAGGGTTAAAATGTCGTCCTATATGCCAGAAAGCATGGTAATTCCACTAGTTCTCCAGCATGATCTCCTTCTGGCTCTTCCAGTTCTCTTTTGAACTTGTAGTAGTCTTTTGCCTGCTGAGGTGTGGGAATCCAGTATTGCTTCTTGTATAAAAATAGAAGGCTTCCTTCTTTTCCTCTCTAAAGAATATTTATGCAGTATTTCCTTTCTTTCAATTTATGGAGTGTCAGTGAATCTGGTTTCTTCTTTCTTTCATTGCTTTTTCTGTTACCCACTATCCTTTGTTCTTCCAGAAAATTGTATTTTTTATAGTTTATCCATAGTCAATAGCTAGTTTTGAATCTGTTGTCACATGCTTCAAAACTTCCATCACTTTGGCCCAGTCTTGTTGAAATTCCGACTTCAAAAAGTCTAGATCTTGTCTCATCATTTTACAAATCTCTTGCAATTCATCCAGAAGTTGCAGTTCTGCTGAATCTTTCACTGTAGTTGTCCTCATTATTTCCACAGCTGTCTTTTATTTATAGTTTTAGCAAGGTTCTTCACAGTTTTCTAAAAGTTTTTGCAAAATTGGGCATTGATTCTTACAGTCTGGAAAAGCACTCTGTCTAGTTCCTTGCTATTTTGAACTGAAAGAAGAAAATTCTTCTAGCCAAACAAGTCCAAGAGAAAGAGAAAAACAATGAAAGGAGGGAACAGATTAAGAATTGCTCAAAAATAATTCTCTAATAAAAACTATAGAATAGAATAGCTCTATTGTCATTGTATTATTGCACAACGAAAATAAATGCCTTTTCCAGCACACACCACAAAACAACACACTCATACTGCCACACCCCACTGCACAGCCCCCAATGTGACATCATTGCAAAACCATGGAATTCAACATAGCCACAGCTCTAGGATAAAAGCTATCTCATGGTCTTTTTGTCCTTGTCTTTGTCACCCTGTACCTGCTGCCAGATGCCAATAATTTTTTTTAAAAAAAGAATATGTTGGGTGAGATGAATCCCCAAGAATGCTCTGGGCTTTTTTTTTAAATAGCAGCTTGTATTCACAAATGTAGGATGAAACTATAATCTGCATCATAGAAAAGGTAGTGAATCAAAACTCTGATCCAGCTAAAATTTACATTGGACACAGAGAAGTGAACTCGTAGTCCTGTGAAAGGTTTATGATCAAACGAAGTGTTATTTGGAGTAAAAATGATGATCTCTAAATAATCAGGCTAGTAACAAATGTCTCTTTGCAAACCTCTCTTGTTTTCCCTTTTGATGGCTGAGACATCTGCTTCAAAATTTGCCTTTTATCTTTTATGTAGATTCTAAGCAGGGTTTTTACACACACAAAAAGAAAAATGCCTCGATTATTTGAAGTTAGACAAATGAAGAGTGCTCAAATGATCCCAATTCTGCTTGTCCACAGACAACTGTCTCAGTATAAGCTTATTGCTCAGAAGAATTCTCCATATGAACATTTGCCCAGTGTTTTTCCTGATGATGAGGATTGCGAAGCATTGACCCGATCATCAGGTCTCTTTCTGAGGTCTCTTCTGATCCCAGGCAGAGTTTTATGGCTTGCTAATTTCCACTCCAGTGTCTCTTTCCTGGGACACACATCAGTTAAACATTTTTAAAACTGTTCCTGCAATGCAACCTGTCTTTCCCGAGAGCCCAGCATGGCCTGAGGAACGTGGCTGTTCTATTGGAGCATTCCCAGAAGTCTGTCTTACCTGTCGGTTTTACTTGTGTTATACCCCACCTTGAACCACAAGGAGAGGTGGATAACAAATTTATTTAAAGATACAGCTGTGTTTTGGTTTGAGAACTGATGTCTTTTGAAGACTGCATTTATTCACAGTTTGGTATAGAAGGCACCATTGTTTTACAAAACTGGTAGAAAACTAAAATATATTCTCAACCCTAACTACAACCAAGCATCCAGTAGATATATTTTTAACAGGTTACAGTGATGGAAAACATGTAGTTTCCAAGTCTTCACACATTTAAATAATTCTATTAATTTTCTTTTATTCCCCAAGGATGCAGTGTCCAAGCACCAAGAAGTCAGCAATAACCTTGAGTTTGCAAAGGAATTACAGAGGAGTTTCATGGCTTTGAGTCAGGATGTAAGTTTTTAAAAAAGAATTCTATGTAAATGAACTGCGAACACAATTAAAGCTTCTTTCTCACAATAAAAGTGTTTTCCTATGCATGAGTATTGTTTCATTAACTAAAATTAGATGTTGGTGCTTTTTCTTAGAAAGCTTCAGGCATTGGCTCCACAGACAATATGTATCTGTTGATCAAAGTGAACTAATATGTTGTAAAAGAAATTGTAAGGAGAGGACATGGATAGTTCTTGTCATGTCCTATGGCATGGCACTGATTATCTGTGCAACAACTATTTCTCTGTTGCGTTTTTATTTATATTGTTAGTCAAGATTTGTGAGGGTTCATTACAAATTTGTTACTTTAAATCATTTAATAGTTAATTTTGGGAATAATGTGGAAGTTTCCTACTTGCACTTTTTTCATTGTGCTAGAATCAAGCAATATTCTTTCTCAAATAATTTTCATTTCAGATTTTACCGAGGTCTGAGATTATTGGAATAATAAAGTATTGTAGTTTTCATTCACATGTGTGCAATCAATGCTTCCCCATTTTTACATTTTCAAAGTTACCTAATATTATTTCCACAATTCTGCTAGAATTGGGCATTTTGAATCAGTGAATGAAATTATTGTTCATTACCATTGAACAACAGCCTGAAAATAATGAGCATTGTTTGCTATATAACAAAAACATCCAGCTAACTTCCTTTAATTTGCATAGCTGCACAATTTTTTAAATTTTTTTAACTTTAGGACTATGAGCTCTACAGAAAAAAAACAGATTTAAAATAAAATAAAGATGTTACTGAGATTTGCTCAGTCTTCATGTTTAATTTCCATTGCTTTGGAGTCAACACAAATACAACATTAGAAATGCAGCTGCTGTTTCTCCAGTAATATGTTGGCACTTTGTGAAATATTTGTGTAAACTTTTTGAAACCTGTAATTGTTCTCATGTTACCTGTTGTAAATTTTCTCAGATAACATTACAAGTTTTAGAAGTGCTTATGAAGTGATAGAATGGCGATGATAGGTGTGAGAAATTTGCTTCTGCATTTATGTTTTTGTGTTTTGGGATTGTTTAATACATACAAACAATGATGATAGTTAAGATAATAAAGCCTGCTTTTTATTAGATACAAAAAACCATAAAGAAGACAGCTCGACGGGAACAACTAATGAGAGAAGAAGCTGAACAAAAACGTTTAAAAACAGTACTTGAATTGCAGTTTATTTTGGACAAGTTGGGTGATGACGAAGTACGGAGTGATCTAAAACAAGGAACAAATGGAGTACCAGTATTAACGGAAGGAGAACTTTCAACACTAGATGAATTTTACAAGCTGGTTGACCCCGAACGGGACATGAATGTGAGGTATTGCCATAGATTACACTGCCAAAATAATTCTGATGATCTTACTAAAGCAATGCAATTAGTTTCTTTGCAGTGTAAAAGTTTTGAGGTGTATTATATATCTGTTATATTTTTGTTGAAGGTTGAGTGAACAATATGAACAAGCATCAATCCACTTGTGGGACTTATTGGAAGGGAAGGAAAAAACTGTATGTGGAACCACCTGTAAGTATACTAACTTTTCTTAATAAACTAAAAGCTGTGATACTAAATTTTCTGAATATCCAGGCTTATGTACTATTTCCTATACATTGTGTATGCAGTAGGTGAAGAACACACAAAATGCTAATTTAGAGCAGAGTGTTTCTCTACTTATATGCCTTTGCTCAGCATTTAATAGCAGCTAGTTTCTGCTTGTTCATCAGTATGTGTATGGATGATGCTTAGGAACACTGCTTTCTAAAAACTAGGTTAGTAAAAGAGCTTTTCAAACAAAGTAATTCATGTAGAAACCACATATAATTTTCATGTGCTTTTAAGTAAAGTTAAAGAAAGGTGAACGGAATATTGTAACAAGCACTGAATACTATGTATCCTTAGATGATGGATAAATAGATGGAACAACATTGGTTAAACTGATTGTATTTTAAGCTATCCAAAGATCTTACAATACAGTTTGGGAAAAATAATTTTAAAATAAATGTGCAGTTATATTGAACTATTTGGATTACATGTAATTGCTGCATTCATCCATATTTGTTGTTAATATAAATTTATATCTTTTTGAGGAATGCTTGCAGTCTAGAAGGTGAATTTGTTGTTTTTTAATAGCTGGAGAACAAAATTGTGGCAATGGAATTCAAATGGCAGTAACATAAGTAGCAAACTGAAAGCAAAGTATTGGTAATTGATTTTTGAAATTATATTTATTAAATACCAGGGTTTTTTTTCCTACTGAAATGGTGAAACTTTTGGTCTAAATTCCGTTGTTAGTTTCAACTCTAGATATGAAAAACCTACAAAAAAACTTAGATTTTTTTTTGGGGGGGGGTAACATGAATAAATATTTAAATATTCATATATTTCTGTATGTCATATACTTAATGCCTGCTTAACACTATGGAGTTTATGTTTTTAAATCTTTTTATTTTACATTTCTACTCTCAACTAAATGTGAGGCATAGAATTAATTGTCTAAAAGTGAACTAATACTTAAATCTTGTCTTTTAATTCATTGGGTCAGTTTTGTTGAAATTAACAATTGGATATCAGTATCTACATGTTGTCAACTGACTTTGATTTGAAGGGCTTTTGATACTTTAGTTACTTATTAACTTATTTGGAAGGATGCATATTACCACCTCTGTCTTAGAGGAGGAAACCTCTGAATTTTCCAGTGTCATAAATTCTAGCATTGTCATGTAGGATCATTGTACTTCCCAAGCATAAAGTAATGATGCAGATTTTTTGATTTTTCAGTGCCAGTATCTCAGTTGTATATTCATTTAATTCTTCTGTTCTAGGTTTTGTGGCTTTCTTTTTACCTAATTCGCTGTAATAGGTTAAAATCAATTGTTTATAAACATTCTTCATTGCATCATTGGCAACATTTTATTGGTTAGATATTATGGTGACTTATTTCTTTCTGCTTATTGTTTGGATTTTCCCTAGAGTAGCATTTAAAAATAGTTCAGTAGTTCTTAGCAGCTTTGTTGAGATTTGTTATTTACAGGGAACAGTCACTGAGTTTTAAGTGGCTTCTGGAGACTATTATGCTTAAAATAGGCTGGTCAGTTTGGCCTGACTTACAGCATCCTCCCAGATAGTTGAAAGAGGTTGGCTAAATTTCTTTGTCTTACTACATGATAATTAGTTGCTAAGTGTACAGCATAGAATTTGTAGCACATGTCTGTTACAGCATCTTTAGCAGTGAGAATAGGTACTTTCACCATATGCTTATTAATTTATTATTTAAATCAGTTTATTTTATGGCAAAAGTAGCCTGATTCATTAATGTTTCACTTGTATATGTTCTTGCAGCATTTCAAATATTTGGAGTCTAGTGCCCTGGGCTTTGATTTGCTCCCCATCTAGCTGCTTAGTTTATTTAAGCTTGTCTGTAACAGCTCCAAATTGGTCCTACTTGTTGTCTTTCCTATTGCAATAAAGTTGCATCTATGTTGCTTTATTAAATACTTCAGATAAATTGCTCTGGATGAAGTATCCTTTCAATCACACTTTCCATCAGTTGCGCTACCAGCTTTCTGAGAGATATACTTCTCAGATTAAAATACTTGAGACAAAAGTTAAAACACCATATATATAGAATGTGGTTTATTTCTTAGAAGTATACTTCTCAAAAAGTTACTAGTCCAACTGACAGAATGTATGAAATACAGTGTAGCAATTAAAATATAGAGTAATTAGGGAAAAATAGAATTAAGGAGAAGTCAGGTAGATGCTTTAAACCTTTTGGTAGGTGAAACAATTTGTAAACCTCTTTCATTTCTGATTACAGATAAAGCCCTAAGAGAACTTATTGAACGCATTCTTCAAACAAGTTACTTTGACAGTACTCACAACCATCAGAATGGATTGTGTGAAGAGGAAGAGACAGCACCTACACCTGCAGTTGAAGATCCTGTTGCAGAAGCTGGTAAGGAAAAAAAACCCTCTTAGTCTGATCCTAAGAAAGCTAATTCAGTCATAAAATCTAATTTCGCCAGTGGCTTTGTAGGCTTTTTGAAGGCTTAGCTCTATTTCTTTGATATTTCCAGTGAATTGGACTAAGCAACTTATATGTGTACTGCAAATATGAAATTAAACCTTAAACTATCCAATTTCTCAGTTCATGTCTGGACCTATGAACCCTATTAAAGCTTGTAGAGTAGAAATGTATAGTTGCATTAGTATAACTTGCCTTCATGAACAGATAAACACTAAATTATTGTCTTTAATTCATAGATTAAAGCTTAACAACACAACTCAAAATACTTTAAAGCTAATCCATGAACACTTGGTTCCGTGGATGTAAAAATACTGTATTTGCTTGTGATTTCCATTCATTATTTCTTTTATATCCAAATACTAAAATGTTTATACAACTCCAGACTAATTTGCAGAAATGTTCAGGGCCCTATTGCTTGAGGTTTTTTTTTTTTTCATAGAACCATGTGTAGTAAAAAATAATAATAATACAGTTTTATCTAAAATAGTCCATTTTTCTTACAGAGCCAGAGACAACAGAAGAATACACTGAACTCAGTGAAGTCGAATCAACAGAGGTACTATTCAGTGGAAGAATTGTAGTCATCTTTTAAAAATGAATGCTGCTGTCTTACAGTTGTACTCTCTCACTTTTATTTTAGTATGTTAACAGACAGTTCATGGCAGAGACTCAGTTCAGCAGTAGTGAGAAGGAACAGGTAGATGAGTGGACAGTTGAAACTGTTGAGGTAAGGTGTTTTGTATGCTTAGGTAAACTTGCAATCTCTTTTTATCCCCTTGTAACTCACACGCAACTGTAATCTACATAGAACGGTGCTTCTTTAGCAGGATAGAATTGAATTTCATAGGATGTTCTGATGAGCGCAAATACTTCTTTCAAAGTATTCCACTTTGTAAGCTTTGTAGGTTCAGATGAGAAAATCTTTTGTAGTGAAAAACGTACAGGCCTGGAGGTTGAGAACTTAAGCATTTAATTTTTAAAAAGTCTTATTTTTTGCTGACAGTTATGCAGTGTTATAGGCAGTTCTTAATATGAAGGTTTAGGAGGCATTTTAAAATTAAATGTTTTTAAAAGTACTAGAATATCAGAAGAAAATTCCTTGGATCCCAAAAACATTTTTAGGTAATCAAAAAGGATTTCTGCTCATGCAGGTTCTTTCCTCCATATTTTTGCTGGCCTGCCTCTGTTTCTTTATAACCCATAGAACACTGTTTTGGAAAACCTTTTCATGTATTAGCAACTTGTGACTGTGACTGTGTTGGAAAGTAGCATAATGAAAGTCCTGTTGCCATGCGCAAACCTGCTTCTACAAGCTTGGATCCAACTATGTATCTGCCATGATAAAATATTCTGGTTGGAATTTTTTTGTCATTCACTATATTTTGCATATGTAAAATAATGTATTTGGGATTTAAATAATAAAGATTTATTTACTTGCATTTCAGGATTTTTTGGGTGGTGATGGTAGTGAAGGCACTCTAGTCTTTCATTCACTAGTAGCATCTTCAGCCTTCAGATGTGTTCAGACTGAAAAACTGAAATAAATATATGCATTAGGTGTTTTCAGGATGTTCAGAGTTTAAACTTCATTCTCTGTAAGACACTAATTGGCACTGTCTTCTGCCTTTGACGATATAATGCATCTATGCTTGGGATAGATATAACCTTTCCATCTTTTGGGTATATAAGCAGTAGTATACCACTAACTGTGGTATACTACTACTAATTGTTCTGTGTAATATGTGTTTTACTTTCAAATCATACAAACAATTGACATCAGTAATTAAAGGCTGGTTATACATAATACGTTAATATTTTCTGATAGTTTCATTTGAGACTTAAAATTAAGTTTTCCAATGTGCAAATTCTGAAAGTGAAATCTGATGCTTTGGTTTCTGAAAATGCAGTGGAGTGATTCCAATTTTCTTTATGGTTTCCACAATTCTGGGCAGGGCACCATTTAGAACTATAAAGCTAGGTTTAAAAAAAATTGCCATGTGAATGAAATTCTCAATAGCCTTCTCCTTTTATGGTAGTGTGTCCTGAATTTTGTTGTTGTTGTTTTGAATGGGATAATAAAAAAGTTCAGTCTTGAAGAATAGAATGATGTAGGTATTACTTTTTAATCACAGCTTTCCCACATAGTTTAATGACCCAAACATGCTAATTATGGTGTACAACCAGCGTTCCTTTCTGTTATAGGATTCTTAATTAGATATGATTTCAGGAGCCCCCCCCCCCCCATTGTCTCAAACTCAACTAGCTCAAAGTTCATGAGTTTGATTTTTTTCACCACATTGTTCAGATGAATGTAGGCCACTCAATGATGCACTTATGATAGCCTCAAGACTTGTTTCTCTGCAATGTTGAAAACTTTCTTCATATAGTGTTCCTTCCTTATGGAACAGGTTTTAAGGGCTCACAGGAGAAAGGGGTGATCCCATTTTGTGGTAGAAAAATTCTGAGAATATTAATGACAGCAAACAATGTAATCTTGCTTCTGGAAGATCTTTTCCAAATTCCCAAAAGCTAGGTATTAAGGTTCATTAGAAAGAATTATTTAGTGTGCTGTCGGAGGTTTTCATGGCCAGAATCACTGGGTTGCTGTGAGTTTTCTAGGCTGTATGGCCATGTTCCAGAAGCATGCTTCTGGAACATGGCCATATATCCTGGAAAACTCACAGCAACCCAGAATTATTTAGGTTACTGAGATACTGAAAATCGCAAACAGTACACTATGGTTTAATTCAATTTTGGCACTTGTTTTGATTAAACCTCCAAGCATTTGAATAAAGCAGATTCTTGAAATGAAATGATGTCATTGGATTATTATGGTTTTGGTGCACTTATTGCAGCCAGCTTTCGTTTCTTTTTCTTCACCTGTAAAATGCAAAAATACTAATACCTTCGTTCTTCTAAACTCGGATGGGTATTTTTTTTAAAGAAAGAATGGTCCGTTTACTAAAATTGCGAAGTGTTCAAGCTACAGTAGGTCTGCTTAATATGCAAATTTATTGAAAGTGATTTCATTTATCTGTGAAGAGCTTTGACTACCATCAAATTGTGCAGGAGCTCGTGGTGATGCTTAGAGAAGTGGTCTCTCTAGGCCTCAAGTGCAATTCTGTGCTCATCTTCTGCTGGAGGTTCTGCTGGATGTTCTGCCTGAAGTTGACCATAGAATGGTCCTAGACTCCTAGAAAGAATACCTCTGGAGGCATTGCTGGATCCTGCTGAGTGAATCTATGGTATGCTTCGGCCAGATGCCCAAAGCATAATTTGGTTCAGATAGGAAAAATAAGGTTCCAGATTAGAAATGAAAATCTTATTACAGAGAGGTTCTAGAATGGCATAATATGCCTACTCTAATCATCATTATCCCTGGAAGAAAAGTGTAGCAGCCCAGAAATACATTATCCGCTTTGGTCATACTAAGGGGCCACTATTGGAAAGCAATGTGGCCTGACTTTCAGTATTGGATGTTTCCTAATATAGGTGGTAAATTCCTTGCAGCAGCAACCACAAGCTACATCGCCTCCAGTTCCAGATGCCCATACGCTTCCTGCTGTGACTCAAGCAGATCCTCTCGTTAGGAGACAACGAGTACAAGACCTTATGGCACAAATGCAAGGACCCTACAACTTCATGCAGGTGCATAGTTTTCGCCGTTTTAAGGCAATTGCTGAATTAGAATGAGTTCCCCGTTTTTAAAATGATTGTAGTCCATTTTAAGTTTCAGCTCACTTTAAACCAAAGCTAATTGGTTTTATGTAAGAGACTTTACAAAAAACAAGACCTGCATGCATCTTGTTTTTATTACTTAGGATTCTATGCTGGAATTTGAGAACCAGGCAATTGATCCTGCCATTGTTTCAGCCCAGCCTATGAATCCAGCACAGAATTTGGACATGCCACAAATGGTTTGTTCTCCAGGTTGGTATTATTTACTGTATTATGTGTGATAATAATTTATTACCCGTCTCTCTCTGGGGCTCAAGGTGGGATACAGTGTCATTAAAACAAGAGATAAAACATTTATTAAAAGACATACAATAAGATACACAGAATTAAAATGCAAGTTAAAATCTACTGATAAAATCCAGATTAAAATTCACAACTTAAAATTGACTGGGTAGGCATGTTGGAAGAGATGGGTCTTCAGTTGTGTCCTAAACTCTGATAGCTGATCTAGCTGTCAGAACTCTTCTGACAGAGCATTTCACAGTCTTGGGGCAGCCGATGAAAAGGTTGTCTGGGTGACGGTTGGCTGTTGAGTTCTGGCTGGTTGGAGTAGCCACCCCCCAGAGGACCTAAGTGAGCATGGTGGATTGGACAGGAGAAGGCAATTCTGTAGGTAACCTGGACCCAAATCATGTAGGGCTTTCAATATCAAAACCAACACTTTATACTTTGCCTAGAAAAGAATTGCCAGACAGTGGAGTGACTTTTGTATAATATGCTCACTTCTGGATGTTCCTGTGACCAATTTGACTGCTGTGTTTTGAACTATTTGAAGTTTCCAAACTTGGTACAAAGGTAGCCCAATGTAAAGCGCACTGCAGAAGTCCAACCTTGAGGTTATCAGTGTGTACACTGATCTTCAGGTCCTCCGAATCTAGGAAAGGGCATGGCTGGCGTATCAGCTGAAGCTGGTAATAAGCACTCCTGACTGTACCATCTCCTTGGGCTATTTGGAAAGATGAGTCCAGGAGCACTCCCAAGCTGCAAACACAGTCTTTCAGGGGGAACGTGACCCCCATCCAGGACTGGTTGACATACCTCCATCCCCAGACTAGGACCCTTGATGGCAAGCACCTCTTTTTTGACTGGATTCAGTTTCAATTTGTTTTCCTTATCTAGTCTGGACATTCATTCAGAGGAGACATGTTATCCTTAACTAGAGCTGTTTTGGAAGATATGAAGAAATATATTCGAGTATCACCAGCATACTGATAATACTCTGCTACATGCCTCTGGATGATCTCTCATGTAAATATTAAAAGCATTGAGGATAATGGCACCCTATAGAATGCCATATTTCAGCTCCTTTTTTGCGAAGCAGATATCCCCAAGCACCACCATCTGGAACCTGTCTGAGAGGTATGACTGGTACCACTGCAGCACAGTCCCTCTGACTCCCAACCCCCCTCCCCCCAAGTTCCAGAAGGTTATCATGGTCGATGATATTGAAAGGTACTGAGAGATCTGAAAGCACCAACAGGGACACACACCCCATGTCAGTTTTAAGATGGAGACCATCCACTAAGATGGCCATAGCAGTCTCAACTCCATATCCTGCTCTGAAGCCAATTTGAAATGGGCCAGGGAAGTGTGTGTCATCCAAGACTTTCTGGAGCTGGAGAGCAACTTTCTTCTCAATCACCTTACCCAAAAACAAAAGATTAGACACTGGCCTGTAGTTATTAAGGTCCAGGTGATCCAGGAAGAGCTTTTTCACCAGTGGTCTAACTACTCTTCTTTTGAACAGAGTGGAAAATTCCCTTCTCTGAGAGGTGCATTGATAATGTACTTCAAATCTAATTGCATCTCCTCCCAGTCAAGACAAACAATGATCAAGAAAGTAGATTGTCCTCCTTACTTGTCCATATTAACAGTACTTACCAATTGAAACTGATTCAGTGTAATCCCACTCACAGAATTGCTGGACACCTCATTGTTGGCTTCTGCTCCAATGACAGTATCTAAGTCAGTTCTTTTGTGGAAGATTTTTATCTGAAATGGTTATCACAATGAGCTAGTAATAATTTAGATTTCTTTCTGTGAAAATTAATGTTAAACATCTGTGCTCTATAATTTGATTTCAGAGGTCTTTAATTATGTGAACGAGCATGTAATTGATTAATGAAATATTAATGAAACAGAAGACTAACAATTCTGATAATCTGTGTAATAATGTATTTTCAGTTCATACTGAATCCAGACTTGCACAACCCACCCAGGTTCCTGTACAAACTGAAGCTGCGCAGGTAAGAACTATACCTTGAAAATAATTGGCTGAAGCCCCCCCCCCCCCCCCTTACACACTCATGGAAAATACAGTACTTTGACAATGTCTTGTCTGTTGTAATTAGCAGTCAATATAATTACTATTGAATGTTTAAAGTGCAATTTTCTGGTACAAATGAAATGAACAAATAAAAAAAGAATAATAGAAATAAATTTGACTGCTGAAGATACGAATTCAACCTTCACATTCAACAGATTTCCCATAGCATAATTTTGCTCTTCAGCAATTTTCTCCAATTAACTCTTACTATGAACCTCAAGCATCGGTACAGTGGTTTGAGTGTTGGACTACGACTCTGTAGACAAGGGTTCAAATCTCCACTCAGCCTCAGAAACCTACTGAATGGTCTTGAGCAAGTCACACTCAGCCTCAAAGGAAGGCAGTAGCAAGCCTCTTCTTACCAAATCTTTCAAGAAACAAAACATGATAGGTTTAGGGGATGACTTGAAAGGACATAATAACTAGTCTCTTCTGTGCTATTTTGAATGGGTGAGGGGCCAATTGAGAGAGCAAAGGTAACTACTGAGAATTGTAAATAAAAGATCACACTGGAGAAAATTTCTACTTATCCTCTTCATCTTGCTAAGCAAATCTCCATGTGATCTTAGTTGCCTTTTCAGACAAGTATCCAACACTGTTGCTCAAAAAAGTTGCTTTGGAGCTTGAAATGTTTGTGAACCTTCTCCTAGAAACCTGAGTTACGTCACATGCCATACATTGTTTAATAATTTTAATGTTATGGATTCAGCTGTTCACTGGTTTTTAATGCTTCTCTTTATTTTCATTTTTGAAAATCCATTTAATTTGCTAAGCATAAGCTGTCACTGCTCAGTTTATCACTACTATAGCAAGTGGGAGAGTAAAACTATTCCATGTAGGGATCCTTAGATTTCTATTTCATTTTTTAATTCCAAGGCTTCCAGTGAGATCACTTACCTAGTAAGCTGGACCATTTCCTTAGGCACATATCACAATAAACCCTGATGATTTATTTTGTTTAAAATGCATTGTGAGGTTTAAATGCATAGGTTTTTTTTGGATTAGACTACATTTTAGGAACATAATCGCTATTACAGTAATACCTAATTAGTGTCATTTCAAATCAGTCTTGAAGTCCAGCTAGAATTTAACATTAAAGGACCCCCTAAGAGTAGATCATGTAAAATCTAATGGTATTCAAGGGCTTAGACTAAACAACTTATTGAGATAATTATGGGAAAGGCTTTCTATATTTCAGTTGAGAATCTTGTTCATTTTTTACTACATATGTGGAATAGTTACTTCTTTATAAACACAGGTATCCTTCAGTAAATGAAATAGATACAGTTATATATGTTACATCTTCAATAAAAAGAGGGAGAAATAACATGGAAGTAATAGGGTTTGGTTCCTACACAACAAAAATACGAGTTGTTCATTATTTTATTTTATTTTAATTTGAAAACTCATGCAGAATCTCTTAGCAACCTTAAGTCTTTGAGCACAATTCCCCAAGGCTTTTATTGGAGGCAAAAGACTGCAATTCACTAAATATCTGCTGGACACAAACTATCAGGGTCTTTCAGGGAACCTTGGTTAGCAACCTGAAAGATTAAATCTCTTCTGTGTGATCTGGTACTAGTGGAGAGCCTGGCGGGTGGGATCACTTGAGTTGTATGGCTTTTCTCTACCATAAAGTGGGAAGGACCCTGCTTCTAGTTGTGTGTGCCCAAAAACTTTTGTAAAAAGGAGCTTCTCTACCAAATGCATCTTTAACTGAAGGATTCCTTTCACTGTGTGCCATTTGGAAAAAAAAGGCAAGGTTTTTAAAAGGCTCCCTTATGACATTTCCTCTTGCATTGATTAATGTTTGGATGGAAATTAATGTTTACATATTCATAGAAGTTAAAGAAATCATTTCCATTGGAGAGCCATTTGGAACATAACTGAGTCTCTTTTAAGAGAGGAAAGTGGGATATAAATAACTACTACAACAGTGAATGGAGTGTGATGTGGCAGGCAGGGGTAATGGCCCCATTCCATAATAATGCAAGTATTAGATCTCCTCTTGCCTGTCTGCTTAGTACAGCAGTCCATTCTTTCCCTCACCCAACTTCTATGATGAATGATAGGTAATTTTCTGTAACATATATGACCTTATAAAACCATACCTGCCTGTGTGGCATTGGAGACATTACCTTTATTTACTCTTCCCAAATCTTCAAAAATCCCAGCTTCTTAAACAAACTTAATCAGTAGACTAAATGTCCTGACTATGGGATCTCATCGTTTGCTCATTTATATATCAACGTGTCCCTTAAATCAGCCTTTGTTTCAGTACTCTGTGAAGTCTCACGTTTTCAGGTTTGGCCTAATCTGCCAATGCAGATACCTTTTCAAGTCTACATATTCCTCTCAGTCCTTTGGTAAATAAAAAAAAAACTCACATGCCTGACAAATTGTGCATGTTATAAAGGCAGTTTGTCCAGTTTTTACAGTATTATTCTTGTTTTTTTGGGCATTGCCATTCTTCTGGCCCTACAAAATATCTTAGTATTATCCAAAATGTCAGAAGTTACTTTAAGGAACTTAAAGACCTGTAGTATAATAGAAAACTCTACACGGTGCAAATCTGCTATTACTAGAAGATGGGAGAATGTAATTTCATCTGGCTTTGATAAAAATGATATGAAATGCAACTTTTGACTAGAGTAGTGTGCTGGAGGCTCTGTCTTTGGAGGCCTTTAAACTGGTCAGCTGGCCATCTATTGGGGGTGCTTTGATTGTGCTTTTCCTGTGTGGCAGGGGGTTTGACTGGATTGCCCTCTTCCAACTCTATGATTCTATGATTTATTGGGACAAATGAATACATCTTAATATTTCTTAACATAATGAAATAATGCAGAATAATGTTTCTAGTATAGTTGTAAGTAAAATATCAAAGAGACTGATGGGAAGGAGTTACCCAAAGGCCCTGGCAGGAGTTTCTGCTAAACTTTAAAACTTTGACAGGTCCCCTTGGTTTCTTCCACAAGTGAGGGATATACAGCATCCCAGCCCCTGTATCAGCCTTCTCATTCAACAGAGCAGCGGCCTCAGAAAGAATCAGACCAGATTCAGGCAAGTTATGAGACTTCATTTTGCTTGGGAAGGGAAAATGTGCTACATTCCTGCATATATAACTAGAGCATCCCTCTAAAAAACATGGCAATCATTTGTAGGTATCGCGTCTTTGGCCATTTTCCTAGTTGATATGTGTGCCTAATGTTTGTGCATTCTAAAATAGAGGCAGTTTCTTTGGTAGTTTAAACTCTTGTGTCTGTACATCTAATCTGAGGGTAGCTTTCCAGGTACAATTGATTGATTGGGAGGAGGCACATTAGAGACGTAGTGTGATCGTTGTAAGCATTTCCAGCATTCATTTCAGGCACAATGGTAATACAGAAAAGTGCTGGAGTTCTTTTCCATGATGGTTTAAATCAGGTGTCCCTAGACTGCGGCCTTCCAGCTGTTTGGGCCTCCAACTCCCATAATTCCTGACTATTGAATAAACTGGCTAAAGCTTAAAGGAGGCCCAAACAGCTGGAGGGCCTTAGTTTGAGGATGCCTGATTTAGAACAGGATACTCAGTGTTAGGTAAATGGGGTACATACAGTGTATCTTTCCATTAGGTACACTTGGTCAGCAGTTACATCTTTTTCATAGTAGAATATTATGTGGCAATGATTTATGGCTTGCTAACAACAGGTGGAATTTTTCTTTTTGATCAGGCTTCAATAACTCTAAATGCAGATCAGACCCCAACATCATCACCGTTACCAGCTGCATCTCAGCCTCAGGTCTTTCAGGCTGCCTCTAGCAAACCTTTGCATAGCAGCGGAATCAATGTTAATGCAGCTCCATTCCAGTCCATGCAGACAGTGAGTACTAAATAAATATTGAATGCTTATTATAGCTCACAAAGTCTAGAACGCCAGTGTGTGTCTAACGTAATAGGCAATTGTGCCACAAGTTCTGTTTGTAATTTGCATGTTGTGAATGTGTGTGAGTTTAACAAGAGTATTTAGTAACAATGTACAGGCAGTCATAGAGTTACAGACGCACGACTTACACATGACTCCTAGTTAAGAACAGAGATGAGACAATAGAAAGTGAGAGAAAACCTATCCCTAAGAAGGGAAATTCAAAACTGGAAAAAGATGTCACCACTGAAGCTTTATCACCAGTTGTTGTACCCATGACAACCCAAAATGTTCAAAATCCAGTTGTCACAGGGACAGGAAATGAGGTGAAATCTTCTAAATGGGTACAGACAGCAAAACTAACACCACAGGGGCTGTTAACCCTTCCCTATCCAAGACTTTTATAGATAGATGGGTAAGTTGGTATGGATATGGATATGGCTGGAGTTGTTTTAGAAATGTACCAGTTTTAAGAACAAACCTATAGAGCAGTGTATCTCAACCTTTTGAATGCTGCGACCCCTTCATACACTTCCTCATGTGGTGGTGACCCCCAACCATAACATTATTTTCCTTGCTACTTCATAACTCATTTTGCTACTATTATGAATCGTCATGTAAATATCTGATATGCAGGATGGATTTTCATTCACTGGATTAAATTTGGCACAAATACTCGATAGGCCCAAATTTGAATACTGGTGGGGTTGGAGGGGGGATTGATTTTGTCACTTGGGAGTTGTAGCTGCTGGGATTTGTAGTTTACCTACATCTAGAAGCACCGTGGACTCAAACAATGGTGGATCTGGACCAAATTTGGCACAAATGATCAATATGCCCAAATGTGAACACTGGTGGAGTTTGGGGAAAATAGATCTTGACATTTGGGAGTTGAAATTTCTGGGATTTATAGTTCACTTACCATCAAAGGGCATTCTGAACACCCACCAATGATAGAATTGGGCCAAACTTCCCACATATGACCCCATGACCAAAAGAAAATACTGTGTTTTCTGATAGTCTCTGGCGACCCCTCTGACACCCCCTCGTGACCCCCTCAGGGGTCCTGACCCCCAGGTTGAGAAACACTGCTATAGAGTCTATTTTGTCTGTAACCCAAGGGCTGTCTGTTATGGAGATATTTGGGTCTTATTTTAAGAAAATGCTTGGGTTTTATTTACTCTTCTTATAGGTATTTAACATGAATGCGCCTGTCCCCCCTGTCAATGAACCAGAAACCCTCAAGCAACAAAATCAGTACCAGACCAGTTACAGTCAGACTTTCTCCAATCAGCCCCACCAAGCAGAGCAATCAGACCTTCAGCAAGAACAGCAGCTACAGACAGGTAAACATGCACGGGGCGGGATGCCAGTAGGTCATTCTAAAAACAAGCTTCCAGCATATCTAGCCCAAATAAACAACTCCCAGCACACATTGTTGAAGTAATATTTTGTCTCTGTTTGGTGAAGAGAGGTTGCTTCATGCTATTTGTAGAGACCTACAAAGGAGACAGTGTTGTTACACAGTTGATTCTTTCATTTTGCTGCCTTTAAATACCATAATATTTGTATACCATTGAAATACAATCTGCTTCTCAATCAGTAAAAGAAAGTGTTGATAGAAGTAGTAGCAAATTAAATTAGTCACACTGAAGGTGAACCCTATGTAGATCATGAAGACATTTAGGCCATGTTCCGTTGGGAATGCAGACTGCCATGTTGGATTTAATTCTGCAAACAATCTCTTTTTGAGTAGGTTAACATTACTGTCCTACTTGGTGGCTCTTAAGCACAGGGCATTGGTGAGTTAGTTTGATATTATTTGAGACTTTTGGAGACTGGAGTGTAAGTTCAAACTTTCTGCACTTTCTTGGTTTTCTTTTTCCCCCACTGTAGTGGTTGGCACCTACCATGGTTCCCCGGACCAGTCCCACCAAGTGGCAGGTAACCACCAACAGCCTCCACAACAGAATACTGGGTTCCCACGTAACAGTCAGCCTTATTATAACAGCCGAGGAGTGTCTCGTGGTGGATCACGCGGCACTCGAGGCTTAATGAATGGATACAGGGGACCAGCCAATGGGTTTAGAGGTAAAAACTTAAGAACCTTTTGAGACTGATTCTGAATGTTTTTTCAGAAATGCAAAATGTCCAGATGCTTATGCATTATTGTGGCATACTTTAATTTTTTAAAATATCGTGCTGAGTTGTCTTTAAGTTTGCTGCATTTGCTCTGTAGTCGTAATTGTGAGTGGAATGCACTATAAAATAAAAGTGCAATGCAGCAAGCTTTGAGACGGAACTAGCATGGGAGCTGTTTTCAACAGAAATGTAACAAACTGATATGAAATGATTTTCCTTTTTTTATCCTGCTAAATGGTTGCATCTTTTTTCAGGGCTTGTTGCTTCCTTGGCTAACAAAAGCAAGTTACTTCTCTTATTCAGATTATGACATTTAGTGGGATTTTTATTTTTGATGTCTGCATTAATTGAATCACTTTAAATTATGATTTATAAATGTCTGATATATGCAGCTTAAAATCTTGAACCATACCGACGACAGTGAATGGCACACAGGAGGCAAAATGCAGTTTAAACAGTCACTAGTTTTGTATCTAAAAGGGCTATGTATGAAAAAGACAGGGCTCTGTGTTTTTATATGGTATTGCATTATTATGATCCATTTGTGAGAATTGTTGCCATGTAGGAAGGACGGTTTATTAGCTGGAGTCAACATGTTCCTTCCTCCTTGTGTTGTTATGACATATGACCTTCTTTCTCAAATACAAACCATTATCCCTTGACTGATATCAAATTTTAAATGAATACAAATATCTTTCATAAAAATGTTTCTCCTGATTTTTTAGGAGGATATGATGGCTACCGCCCTTCATTTTCCAACACTCCAAACAGTGGTTACGCACAGGCACAATTTAATGCTCCTCGGGATTATTCCAATTACCAGCGGGTAAGTTGATTAAACTTTGAAAGGCCTTCTCTAGAGTAATCAAATGCAAACTGGTTTTGAGTGTTTCTTGTTCCTAAAATGTGATGAAATTTAAGAATTATTGCCCTATATTTAGAGTAAAGATAAAACTTCATTTGCACACATATACTCCCATTTTATGTAGATAGGCTAAATATTTTCTGGTCTTCTGTCCATATATTGCTGTTCTTCCTTTTAACAAAAAATGCATGGTTAAATGCCTCCGCCCAGAAGCAAAACTGGATTGCCAAAAAAATCAAGGCAGTACATTTTACATATTTGTGACTCACATTAGCACAAAAGATCTAAGCGGGGTTGTTTACTTCCGTGAAACAAATTGCCAAGAATATATGAGTTAACAGGAAGCTGCTGTCAGTTGAATGATTTTAAAGCAGATGGGGTAATGTTAGTGCTTCTGAGAGGTGATTTCGACCCAGTGCAGCCCACAATTTTTTTTCCATGTTTGTTTTAAAGAATAATCGGCACCCTTAAAAGCTTCTGGGAGTGCAATTCCTTTTTGAAACAAACATGCAACACCAACAGTTAGGGCTATTTGAGGCTGTAAAAATGAATGGGAAGTGCTGCATGCAGCCTGAAGTGCACATGTTGTTTCCTCTTGAACCAAAGAAATCAAAATAATTTCATCTTTAAAAGCCTTTCAGTTATTAATATGGCTGAAGGCAATGGAGGCTGAGTTAGATTGAAAAATGACACGTTACCCTTTGAAGTTCTTTCCAGGAACTTCCAAAAATATCAACTAACAGTATTTGGCTCTTTAAATTTTCAGGATGGATATCAACAGAATTTCAAGCGTGGCTCCGGACAAAGTGGTCCTCGAGGAGCCCCTCGAGGTAATATTCAAGCAATTCATTTCTGATTTGAACCTGTGGGATGCAGACTTAAAGATACTTCGATTCAAATGTGTTAATTGTTGTAGCTGTCTGTTGAAAGTTGTTAATCAGTTTTGCTTTTGAATTGTTTTCTGTAATATTTCACTTCTAAACTCTACTTTTAAAGCTACGAAATTGCTTTTTATTCCTTGGAAATATAAGCTTACCAAGTTGTGAGAACTGTGAAAAGTGTTTTGCTTGGCCTTTATCCTTTTATACCTACAGTAGTGTCTGCATTTTGGGCTTTTTTTGCTATTGCTACTTGAATTTCAATAAAGATCTTGCATTATTTGTAGCCCGCTCTTCTGTCTTCAACTCTGTGTATGGTTGGAATTGACTATATTTTTTATAAACAGGGCAAATAGAAACCTGTTAAGAGATCATAATTTTGGTTAAATTATTTACACATTTATGATTTTATTCTGTCCTATTGCATTGTAGCTGTGTTCAGAAAATATACTAATGACAAAGTGTACAAAACAGTCTGGTCCAGTGAAGTACAGATACAGCATTTGTGCAAGAAATCATTCCACAGAATGTCAGACTAAAGCCAACCCCCCTTCGCCATTTCCTTTGCTAGGATAAGCACAAGAAACACAGGAGGGGTTGAATTGAAGACACTGGAAGCAGCACATTGAGGCTTTTTCCCAATGCTACCTTCTTATGCTGTCTCTGCAAACAGTTTGTGCATGGTGCATAGGGAACAGCTCTGTTTGCTCTAATGGGGATGAGTCTGTGCAACACCTTGTGCCTGCCCTTGAGCTAAAAATGCTATTAACATTTTTTGTAGATTAACTAAAAGGAATACAAACATCTTAATGAGGCAGAAAAAAATCCCTACATTCTGAGTAATCTAGTGCAGGCTCCCAATAAAAATACACAAAACAGAAGATAAGCCTTTGCAGTAATCTAGTGCAGGCTCCCAATAAAAATACACAAAACAGAAGATAAGCCTTTGCAGTAATTCTATAACTTGGACACGGACACACGGCAGCATGATTTTCTGATAAGATATTGCTTTTTCTTTGAAACTTGAGCAGCCACAATTGTATATACTAGATTTGTATTCTAGAACTTGTACCAAGAACCATACTTCAGATTATACACATTTATCATCTGAAAGCATAGTTTATGGCAACAAATTGATTCACCTTTGATAGAAAGGCAGAACTCATATATTTGTATCCGTTCAAACTATGCATTTCCTTTCTGAGTGAAACAGGTATTAAATCACTGATTGTATCTAGGCATTAGACAATCACTACAGAAAGAAAGAGAGCCATTCTGAATATTAAAGGATCTCATTTGATCCAAAAATAAAATGCTATTTTTATTTTCTAGGTCGTGGAGGGCCCCCAAGACCCAACAGAGGGATGCCTCAAATGAATGCTCAGCAAGTGAATTAATCTAATTCACAGGATTACATTTTAACGCCAAAAACACACTGGCCAGTGTACTATACATGTTACCAGAAGAGTTATCTCTTTCTTCTCCTTTATAGGAAATTCATAGTAAAGGGATTATTTTCATTGCCCATAAAAGACAAGACTACAGTTGTCAGCTTTATATTTCCGGGATGTGGAAAGAAACGGCGTTTACTCTGCATGTTCTCTCCTAAGCGTCATCTTGAGCCTTGCACATGCGACTCAGATTTTTTTTTACCCTAGCTCTGATTAAATGCAAAAATTGCAGTTTCAGGATGACGTCATACTGCATAGCTCATTGAACAGGCAGAAGTAATCTGACTGACTCCATTGACATTATATAGCACTGCAGCAAATTTGGATTTTTAAAAAACCTGTAAATCCCTAAATGTTTTACTCAGACAATTGGTATAGTTACGCTTCTACAGAAAGGAAAACGGAAAGAGCGAAGTGTGGTTTAACAGGGCAACTACATTTCACCTTTTTCTGTTAGACTGAAGCACTGAACATTTATAATGCATAACCGATGTCTATAATCTTCTAACTGAATAAGAAGCTGATGAACAGCTTCGGTGCACCTCTGATTCCAAAGTATTCCTGTTAGGCCTGACTTTCTGTTGCAAAAGGGTGCGCTGATGGTTTAATGTAACTGTTAGTATAATTGTGTAAATCCAAAATTAGGCTCTGATTGGCACTTTAAATTTTTCTGTAAAGAAATGGAGGATGCAATCTTGATGGCCACTTGTGTTTTCAATGTGAAGTGTTAAAAGAATTCTCTCCCAAACACATTTCCTGGATAGCAATGACATTTGTAAGGACTGGTGTTCTGTATCTATCCTTACTAATTGCACATTGCCTTTCACTAATACTTGATCTTGTTATATTATCACCTAAATAATTGATGCTGGTACTGATGGAAATTAATATTCATATTACTTTTGGTTATTTTTTTTTCCTGCAGTCTAAAGGTTATAAGCATTTTCAAAGCCCAGCTGTTGCTGCTGCTGCCCTTTTAAATTGCTCTCTTTTGAAAAGCACCGGCAATGTTTGAATTGGTTTCCCCTTTTAAGGGAAATTGCAGCCAGCAGTTACAGATCTAAGCAAGATAAATAAAACATGTTTATTACAAAAACAAAATGCTGTATTCTTTAACACATCTTCACTGACTAATATAGATAAAAAGTTTGTATGTCTGTTCCCTGGATTTCACATGTACAAGATCATCATGGGAATTCTAACTCTGTGTTAGAAAGATCATAGTTATTGAAAAGGATAACGTTGCTGTTTCTCATCCTTTCTCTGGCTTCTGGACATGGTACATGGTGGCAGTTCCAGCTGTCTTCTTGAGGCTATACATAAAGGTAATGGGACCTGTGTGACACAAGTACTGGATGAAACAATTTGACCACTGGAACCTTCTAGACAGTTTTTGAAGTGGCTGGGGACATATTTAGGGAATCTTGCTTTTGTATGCACATTCCCTTTCCTGTATCAGAATGGTGGTTTTCTTAACACAAAGCAATATTGTTTCTGCTTAGTGGATATGTTTGAAAGAACGGAACAAGGAACTGATTATTTTTAATCTCAATTTAGCAAGTTAGGTTATCCCGAAAATCTGCACAATCCAGCCACAAATGAGAAAATCATCCTGAGAATTAAGCAATTTTTGAGTGCGTCCTATGATGTAGTTGCTAATTACAACTGTACAGTTTTAGCTCCAAATACTTTTTGAAGTTAAGAAATGAAGCAGGCAGGAGTAGATATTTGTATGTGTGTTTAAATATATATATGCCAGGCTAATTTAATTTGTGATTGGAGAATCTACAGTGTTTAAAATTATGCAAGTAGCTTATCATTTTGCTTACTTTACAAGGTTGCGCTTCCTGTCTGAAGGCAGCACATCAACATGTAGCCTATCCTTTGAATGGTTAGAAATACTGTTAGGCTTCTACTTGAGCTGCTGAGATTTCTTCTAATTTTATTATTTAGCTTTCAAGGTCTTCATTTGCAGCACTGAAGAATTGAAACCCTTATTTCCTTTGAAGCAGTGAAAAACACTGAGATTATTAAGCTGTGATTTTTTTTCTGTGGCAGAAAATCCTATGGCATTATCATGGAATAATTAACAGAAGAAGTTTGAGGAAATCCATTTAAAACTTACTTTGTGTCTGTCCAATTTGGCAGTGTTAATTTTTTTGTCTTAATTCAATCAAGCCAAAATAAATGATTAAAATAAAGCTCTGTTTTCTTAAATATGAAACAGATGTTGTTCTCCCCAAGTGATTTCCTGAGCATCAAAGGCGAGTGGCAATTTTTCCCCTTCCTGCAATAGACTTAATGGTGTCAAAAAATCTGCTCCAAATGTTTTCCAGCCATTCAGATGAGGTTTTCAGGGTTATGGAATGCCTTTCTATTGCATTATTGTCAGGAGAATAAGAGAATTGGTGAATCTGGATAAAGTAGCAGCAGGATCCAATGGAATTATGCTATTGGATCTTGCCCAAAAGAGTAAGCAAGAGACAAAGCAACAAGAAAAAAAAGTTAGATTTAAATGAGGATTCAAAACTGGGAATTCTTACCCCTTCTTAATAGTTTGGGGAAATGTTTACCAGTACATAATGAGTGATGGTTTGTGATGGAAAAGTTACCGTTCAAGCAACTTGCACTGAAAAAGAAGTAACCAACAGTTATAGAAAGTGTGGTTCAGTTATTCGTACTTATGTTGAGAAGTGTGAAGTTTTCCAGTCTACAAGTTTGATCTCCAAACTCAAGTTTATTAAAAACTGAAATTGGTCAAACAACTGCTTTGAAGCTAATTCAATTGGCATTTCAAAAATCTACAGCAGTGAGTTGAGAAGATGTGGTCTTTTAGATGTTAAGCTGCAAATTATCAATTGGTGTAGACAGTAGTGAAGGATGGGAGTTACGGCCCAATATCTGGAGGACTAGTCTCATCCCTGATCTGGAGTAATGAAATTATACTATTTTTTGTGTATTGTGCAAGAAAGTTTTTGTGTTGCCCATTTTGTAGCTGGATTATGTTATAAACAATTTCCCAGTTCACCTTTTATCTGTGTAAATCCTTCATCCTTTTATAATTTCATAAGTAAAGCTGAAAAGCTTCTTTGTGTCCTTCCTGTTGTTTTGCATCTTAGTGTTCTAAAAGGAGTAATACAATTGAAAATAGCTACTGAAACAAATGCGGATGTTATATTTTACATGTCAGTGGAGATTTATGGAAAAATAGCTTCTACAAATAACAAACTGCAGAGAATTGCCTGGCTGCCTTGGTGTATAATTGTACTTGTTTTTGGAAAGGGTGGATGGAGAGGAGAGGATTTCAGCTGGTTACCTTTTCTATATACATGGATGTTTAAATTGTGCTACCGTTCTTAATCCACCATCTACATTATAAAATCAAGGATGTCATCCTTCGGATGCTGTAATGTGTAATTGATGTCATATTTTAAATTTAAGTGCTTCTTTCTTTGATGCTTAAACTGAAATAGCTTTTAAATGCCCATCCTTTTTACTGAGGGTTCTCAGGTACAATAAATAATCAAAATAATGAAACAAAATTAAAGAATCAGTACAGAAAAAGGGAACACAAGAACAAACAGCATAACATTGAGCAAAAGATATTATATACATTTCTCTCTGATTGAAGTTGTTAATATGTCTGTCAGTTTCCATACCCACTCAAGTTAATAGTTCCGTTCAATAGCCATGCAACACATGTCTATAGTTGAATTTTGCCACTTCTGAGCATATAGTCTTGCTGTAGTCCTGTATCATAATAGTTTCCCATATTTTTTCTCCATCTGGTCCTTCAGTAATCCCAACAAATACAATTCCAGTTTTGATTAGAAATACATTTTCAGAATGTTTTGCAGTACAATCATGTATTTGATTCCAGATTTTATTTATTATTATTATTATTATTATTATTATTATTATTATTATTATTATTGCTAACCCACAAGTCCAGTAAATATGGTAAAATGAATCCACCTGTTGCTAAGATTTCCAACATGTGTTGGAAACACCTTTGTACGCTTTGGCCATCATCATCATCATATCAGTGTAAATTTCATTCCCTTTGGCTGTAATTTATCCCAGTGTTCTGTTTGTTATGTCCCAAGTTTTACTCCCATTTTATTATGAAATCTTTAACTTGTTCTTTTTTCATCTCAATTTTAACAAAAGTGTATAATTTTGCTAAGCAAATGCTCATCTGTGCATAATTATATCTCAAAATCTAATTTGTTTAACTCTAATTTGCTTAATGGAGAAAATATTTTTTATCCATAGAATCATAGAGTTGGAGGAGACCTCATGGACCATCCAGTCCAACCCCCTGCCAAGAAGCAGGAATATTGCATTCAAAGCACCCCTGACAGATGGCCATCCAGCCTCTGTTTAAAAGCTTCCAAAGAAGGAGCCTCCACCGTTCAGAGTTCCACTGCTGAACGGCTCTCACAGGAAGTTCTTCCTCATGTTCAGATGGAATCTCCTTTCTTGTAGTTTGAAGCCATTGCTCCATGTCCTAGTCTCCAGGGAAGCAGAAAACAAGCTTGCTCCCTCCTCCCTTTGACTTCCTCTCACATATTTATACTTGGCTATCATCTCCGCTCAGCCTTCTCTTCTTTAGGCTAAACATGCCCAGCTCCTTAAGCCATTCCTCATAGGGCTTGTTCTCCAGACAATCATTTGAGTCACCCTCTGGACACATTCCAGCTTGTCAATATCTCTCTTCAGTTATGCTGCCCACAATTGGACACAGTATTCCAGGTGTGGTCTAACCAAGGCGGAATAGAGGGGTAGCATTACTTTCCTAGATCTAGACACTATGCTCTTATTGATTTAGACACTATGCTCCTTAAATCTTTCATTTATTCTTCTAGAAGACTCACGTATTCATGGGACTTGTATCCATGATTACATTTATCTATGTTCAACAAAATATGTCATCTCTATATTATTCTTCATTTTAATACAGTTTGTTATTCCACACAGTCGTGGAACGTATCTTAAGTGAATGTGGTGGTTGTGCTGTACTACTGCAGATTATGCCTTTCCCCAACAATTATTTATTTGATGTAATTCATTATTGATCTTGAGCTAATTCTAAGAGGTCTTGGTAAGTCAGCCATCTTTCATCTAGAATCATTTGTTTCCTATGGTAAAACCCATAATGGCATCATAGGGCACTTGGTTTGTATTTATTCCAAATTCTTAACAAGGAATATATTTTTAAAAAATCATTGTTAAAACTCAACATTATTGACGCCATCCACATTATAGATAATGCCCTTACAAATCCAACGAATCAAAACAATTCTTCAACCAGGCTGGACAACAAGGAGATAAGTACAATTTCTAGTCCAGGACTCTGTTTTGCATCTTGTAAGATTTTATATTTAATGGCCTTGCCATAAAACTTAAGTCTTTATCATTTAAATAAGATGTCATTAAACAAAATCAATATTGTCTAAAATAGCATACTCGGCAAGACATTCATTTTATCACAAATATTCTCCACAGTAGTAATATTTTAAGCTCCCCCCACCTTTGAAGTGCCATAACATAACTCTTTAATAACACATTTCATATTTCAATATTTCATCTTTGTCTTAATGTTAATCCAGTTTGTCCACCAACTGTATTTGCTTATTTTCTCATTTAATAAAAAAAAACTATTTTGCCTTTTAAAAATCTTAACCAATGCCAACTCACCACATTCATTGTCTCCAACAGAGATTCTGTAGTTTCTAAAGCATTGTCTAAGACAATCACTAAGCAAAAGTTCTTATATGCTTTCTTTTTTATGCAATTGATCCTGTTTTGTTGGTCTACAGAACTTCCAGAATAACAGTAGGGGGAAAAGTGGATACTTCTATCTTACGTTTTTGTGTATGTTGCATGGTTTGGTGAACTCGAGCAATATCTGTTGCCTGTCTGTCATAAATTGCTTTATCCAAGTAGAATTATCCACAAAATCAATCTTTTCTAGAACTTTAAACAGAAAATTCTAGTTCAAATTATGAAAAGTTTTTTTCTGAATCTAAAATAAGAAAAAAGGGGGGACAATCTGTTAGTAAAATATGGTTAAATATGGTTTTTTAAGAATATTGGAC